CCCCCCCCCCCCCCGTCCCTCATGCATCAATTGAAGGATAGATAGTGTGTAGAAGAAAGAGAGGAGAGAGTGAAAATGAAGGTTCCAGTGTCAAACAAAGTCAAACAAACACAATCACTATTATGAAAATAATGTGAGAAAAGTGTGTAATGGTGTACTGTATGAAATGATATGAATGCATGTTTGCTATCAATGTGTGCATGGATATGAGTATGTGCAAGCCACAAGGATTTGATGTCAGATGTTTTCTTGTGGTGTCACAGGAGAGTGGTTTCGTATGCATTGGTTGATAGCTTTTGTGCAGTGGATATGATGTGTCGACAAGATGACTGGTATATAGCCGGTCTGCATATTATGTGAGCTCATGAATGTGGTTTCATTTATAAGCAAATAACTTTGAATATTATTATTATTATTATTATTATTTATAGGATTTATATACTGCTTTTCTCACCCCTAGGGGGACTCAAAGCGGTTGATTGTTTGGGGGGGGGGGGCTAGAAATGCCTAGAAAAATGTTATCTCTATGTCCTGAGTTGCCCTTCAAAAAACAGCCTTTAAACAATTTTGAAAGTAAAAGAAAAATGCTTTGCTCCAGCAAACACAGAGGATAAGCAAATGCAATTGAAAAGTGCACAAGAAAACAAGGAAGTCTTAATCTAGATACAAATTTAAGTCTCTTACAAAGTTCCAAAAGAAACACCAGTCTTCCATCAGAACTAAGTTCTTAGCAGCAGACGCAAAGCAGATTCCATAGGAGTGGAAACAGCAGTATCAGGGTCGTTGTTACCAGCAAAAGCTGACTGCTCCTGCCTCTGATTTATAGCCCTGAATTCCCCACGCAGGAGGTGGTAGGGTGTCTCCCAATTAGCTCAGCGTTTTTAGCAGCTATTCTGGCTGAACGAAGTCTGTGCTCTGTCTCTTTTTGTCTCTCTAAAAGTATGGGCACTTCATCGTCTGATTCTTCTTCTCCCTCCAGTTCCTGAGCACTTCTCTGCTCCCCTTCCTCTTCCAGTGATGAGGAATCCCCAACACTCTAGGCCTCCAGAATAATTCTATGGTCAACTTCACCAAAGCTTCCAGGTTATCCAAAAATTATTTTACGTCAAGTGTCCTGGAACACATCCCTCACTTACTTACCATATAAAGCAAATATGAAAAACTGATATTTGGGGTATAAACAGAGAAGATGGTTTTATGTATGCTGTGTGTGGCACTATAACGGAAAGATCTCACGGTACATTATATTGTACACATGCATAACATTTTAAAACAAATGTGATGGAAGTAATTAAGAATCCATCATAATTCAAAAGCGGTCTTACATTATATTTATTTTGCCAAATGTCAAGAGCCAGTCTTTGGACTGTTATACAACTCCACCCCCATATTCAAACACACACATCTGTCACCCTTTGTTTAAAAATGCCAAATTTCCATGAACGTATTATGCCTCTTTTTCTTACTATACAAAAAGCAAAAAGAGCAGAATTTATATATGTGTAAATCTCTTTCTCTCCCTTTTCATTGTAATGGATAGCAGCAGATTCACTATTCTTTGGTGAAATCTAGTGAAGTTTTTCATTTTTTTAAACTGTATTTTTATTAATGTATGGCACTAAAATTGCTATCTCTGTGAGTTGTCTTGAATTGCCGCAAGGCTGAGAAAGGCGGGCTACAAATGCCGCAAATAAATAAATAAATAAATAAATAAATAAATAAATAAATAAATAACATCATCTTGGCATATGCTTTGTGGAAAGAACATTATGGCAGCTCTACCTCATGTTTCATTTTAACACTCAGAAACAATTGTTCTAAAGCAGGAGTCCTCAAACTTTTTAAACAGAGGGCCAGGTTACAGTCCCTCAAACTATTGGAGGGCTGTATTATCATTTGAAAAAAAAAAAAGAATGAATTCCTATGCACACTGCACATATCTTATTTGTAGTGCAAAAAAAACACCTAAAAACAATACAATAATTAAAATGAAGAACAATTTTAACAAATATCAACTTATTAGTATTTCATTGGGAAGTGTGGACCTGTTTTTGGCTGATGAGATAGGATTGTTGTTGTTTTTGTGTGCTTGCAAGTCATTTCAGACTTAGGTTGACCCTGAGCAAGGGCTGGGTAAATGACCTTGGAGGGCCGTATCCAGCCCCCAGGCCTTAGTTTGAGGGTCCTGTTCTAAAGATATGTGTGAGATTTGAGATACCTTGGAAATAATTGTATCATATCAGAGGTTATAATGAAAGGAAAAATCACTCCTCAGGTGTGCAGTTTCCAAACATTTTCAGTCATGGAGCTCTTCGGAAGACTCCCCCCCCCCCCCCCCCCCCCCCCGAATGCCAAGTAACTCTAGTTTTTACTATGCACTGTGAATCTGTCTTTCAACTACTTCTATTGCTTGAGTGTTTGGATAATGTAGGTTTGGAAATAAAGAAAAATATGTTAAAGATTATATTTGTAAAAGAAAATTCTTCATTTTAATTATTGTATTGTTTTTAAGTGTTTTTTGCACTACAAATTAGATATATGCAGTGTGCATAGGAATTCATATTTTTTTTCCAAATTATATTCCTGCCCACCACAGTTTGCGGAGCTGTGACCTGGCCCTCTGTTTAAAAAGTTTGAGGACCCCTATTCTGGGAATTATCTCAAAGAAAGGAGGAGATTTCCTCATTTTTGCTCATCCACTGAGCTTGGACCTTCTGCAGATGTCATTTTCTTTGCTTATAAGCAAATGCAGAAAAGTTGATCCCAAGTGTCAATATCCTCAACATTCAGTAGAGTAGACTAGAAATGCGCTGTGTACTGTTATGGTTATGAGTTCCTCAAGTTGACTTAAGGTGACCCCATCACAGGGTTTTCTCAGCAAGATTTTTGCAGAGGTGGACTTGCCAATGCCTTCCTCTGAGGCTGAGAGCTTGTTAAATGCCCAGAGATATTAAATGGATTTCTATGGTTGAGCAGGGAAGCCAGCCTTATTTTCCCATGTCCAGCAGTCAGACCACTACTTAATCTATATAAATAAAAAATGTAATGTTCGTTTGTGGGATTCACAGAACTCAAAAACCGCTGGACAATTTGACACCAAATTTGGACACAAGATACCTAACAACCCAATGTTTGTCCTTCACTCAAAAAAATGATTTTGCCATTTGGGAGTTGTAGTTGCTGGGATTTATAGTTCACCTACAATCAAAGAGCATTCTGAACCCCACCAACGATGGAATTGAACCAAACTTGGCACACAGTTCTCCCATGACCAACAGAAAATACTGGAAGGGTTTGGTGGGCAGTGTCCTTTGGTTTTGGAGTTGTAGTTCACCTACATCCAGAGATCACTGTGGACTCAAACAATGATGGATCTGGACCAAACTCTACACGAATACTCAATATGCCCAAATGTGAACACTGGTGGAGTTTGGGGAAAATAGAATATCGACATTTAGGAGTTGTAGTTGCTGGGATTTATAGTTCACCTACAATCACAGAGCATTCTGAACCCCACCAACAATAGAATTGGGCCAAACCTCCCAAACAGAACCCCCATGTGGGCCACAGCAACGCGTGGCACGGGATAGCTAGTTGTGTATAAATGTGTATTCCCTCCTTGGCTCGCTTCATATTTAAGGTTTACTGCTTCTGTGAAAGGAATAGATTATGAACTGTCTCTGAGCACAAGTCTCACAAAGTGCTGGTGGTTTTCGATTTGCTTACATGTAAGGTTCTCTTCACTGGGATTCCTGAGACCCAGTGTGATTGCCATGGACTGAACCCATTCATTTTTCTTCCCCAGAAGAGACAGAAGGAGGAGACACCACATGTCGATGTGGGAACCACGCAGCAGCAATCTGTATGTGTGCATGTGTTGCTTGTTGTGAGAGGTTATGTGTGTTTGTGGAATTTGCGTGTGTAGCCAGTATTCCATGTTGATGTTGTGAGTATGTATGTATGTATTTCTATTCTTTGGGTGTGCTGTCTGAACAAATGTGAGTTTATCTGTGTCCCTTGTATGTTTGTGTGTATGCATCTATGTATATATCTGTATGTGTGTTTGCACTGTATACAGCTGTGTGCTGCAGGGAGATGTGTACATGAACCATCTAAAGTAGCTTTATGATTTGTGTGTGTGTGTGTGTGTACATTTCTATTTTGTCTGTGTGTGAAAATTAATGGTTGTACTCTGAGTGTTTGCTGATGTGTTTCAAACAGAGTGTGTGTTTGTGTGTCTATGTATGCCTGTTCTGGTATGTCTACTTGTTCAGTTTTTGTCTGTGCACTGTTATAATACTTTATAAACTAATCCCCACCCTCCAAAAAACATAAAGTCAGTACTATAGATATTCCTATTACAGAGAAGTCACATTTTTCAGACTGTTAAGTCCCTTTTTCTGTAGACTGTCTTGAGAAAGAGTGGGAGACTAGGTGAGCGCTAACAGTGGAACACAGGTTCTGGTTTTGGGATATCACATCTGGAAAGGGTATGCCTTGGGTGAGAAAAATTCCTGCCCCGGAAAGGAGCTGAGATTAGTAAATAATCTGGCACTCTCATCCTGTACATGTTTACTTATGAGTAAGTCATAGTTTATGGAGGATTATTTTCAAGTAAATTCATTTCGGATTGTGACCATAGTTAGTGGAACAGGAGAGGAGAAGACCTCAACCATTGTCTGTCCAGCTCTCAAGATGAGAATACTGGGTTAGCTAAATGGTCCGGATACATTTGCTCTGAAGCTTAGCTATAGGGCTTGGTGCTGCATGCCTCCCCTTTTGCTGCCCTTACCTGAAGCACCTGCATGTATTTCCTTCAGCTCTTACTACTCTGCCATCTTTAGCCTGCTTACCGATTACCAACCTCTGTAGAGCAGTAAAGGACATGTCTCATTTGTTTATTTGATGGGCCAATCTTGACACACCCTTGTGTTTGCATGTAGCTCATCAGACAATCCTTGTCACGTCCATGTTTTGTGGTCAATATTACTTGTTTAAATGCACTGTAAATTTATTTAAAATTTAAATACATGCAGTCAATAGCCACATGCTTAAGCATTATGCTAGGTTGGGTGGATGGGAGAGCAGATCAACCATCTATCTTGGGGAATGTCTCTCCTCTGTTGTGTTTATTCTCCTGTTGTTTGTGATTGCATGTGAAATGTAGGGTGGGAATCTTTTCTAGTTATTTGTTGATCTCATATAAGTGGGCTTGGTTATCTCATATTCCTGCAGATAATGATATTTTGAAGAGCCCAGGAACCCCTTTGGCCACTAGGGTTATTCTCTCATGATCCGGAGATGATGACGTTATGAAGGGCCAGGAAATTCCTTTA